GCGAGTGAATCGCCACGAGGACTAGCTTGCTGGCAAGCAAGTGAACCTCGGTAAAAAATCATTGTGCCATCATTTGATTCCGAGGTGATTGGTCTTCATTGGTATTCATTCTTGTGATTGATTGTCTCCTTTGGCGATTGTCTCATTCCTCTACACGATGGTATAACACTCCATCCTTCTCGCATATTTATATTTCTTAGTGTAGCTTGGCCCTTTAGTGTAGCTAGTTTTGAGGGCAAGCAAGAGTCATGTCTAGTGGTTAGTGAGGCTCTTTAGTTAGTCTTTGAGAGCTCACTAATTTAGTGTAGTGACATAGCCTTTGAGTGCTTATAGACAATAGCAACTAGAATTATAGTAGGTGGCTTACATTCTTAGTAGGCTAGCGCAACATTTGCTTCGCCTCATATTTGTCTAACCGCTTTGCGTAGTGTTGTTGTATAAATTTTTATAGGCTATTCACCCCTCTCTAGCCATTAGGACCTTTCACTTATGACCAAGGCAAATGTTGCTGAGTACGTGGTACTGGTTTTGGTCTAATTAAATGGTTTATGTGTGTGTACTCTTCATAAGAAACCAAGTGGAGAACTTGGTTACACATGTGCTAAAAATGGCTGCATGTATAGTTTCTGTTGTGGTGGTAATTTCGTGATGAAAATAATGTTTTCTCTGAAACTTGTCAATGCAAGAGTTATAGATAACCTGTATATCTTTGTTGTCCTAAATTTTCATGATTTATACCAATATGTTTGGGAGTTATGGAATTTACAAATTTTGTTCGCAAAAAATATGGAATTTATAAATTCCCTGTCAGGTTTTGCATGTGTTCTGTATAGATCCAAAAGGTTGTGCTTTTTGACTTAGTTAACCTCTGAATCATATCTTGGTGACAATAATAGAGTTGTAGTACTTTTCTCAGGCTTTTCAAAATGTTAAGGAACACAACTTTTGGTGGATTAGAACTCCAGATACAAATTTTAGAAGTTTCTAATAGAATTATGTCCATATTTGTGCAGATCTACTTCTTTGTGTTGTTCAAACATATTAACTGTTGAATCATCTTAAGATGATAATAAGAAAGTTGTAGAAAATTTCTTAAAAAATTCAAAAAGTTTACGAACACCTTTGTTAGATGCTTATAACTCTAGTTATGGTAAAAACAAGTGACTGTTATACTATAGCCCAGAAAATGCTTTGCTTAAGCTATCTCCACCAAATAAGCCTTACGTATCCTTGGAGTTATTTTATTTTTCTCTTGTAGGATAAGTCTAGCCGAGTACAATTGAGTACTTAGGGTTTTATCCCAACTTGTTGCAGGTGAAGCGTTGTATCCTAGTGTTGTGCTTGCTGCCTCGGCCTGCTAAGGGTGATGAGTTAAGTGCCAGTGGGCTCGGCTGATTTCTATATATTTCTCATCTATGCTTTGGTCGGAGGATATCACATAAGCTAGCAATGTATTTGGGAACTTATGCTGTTGTAATCATTTGAAAGCTATGTTGTTTTAACTTATCAGATTGCATCTTGGTATTGTATTATTACTTATGAACTCAATTTTGTAATATTATTTCTACTGCAAACTCCTTGTATTTGATGTGTATTTGCTAAATTGAGTCCGATCTTGGTTGTGATGTGGCTTTACTGAGGTCCTTTGCGACACTTGATGGATTACTGAGTTTATATAAGTGATGGTATGTGTTGACGGTCACTAACATTAATTATAAATCGTCAACATAACCTGTATTTATACTTAATTCCATCACCAAACATAGGTATAGGGGTTTAAACTAATAAATTCCACGAGTTTTGGTAAATCTATGTTTTCAGCAGGGTTTATCCAGAAAACTGTCAAGGGGGACCTATTCGTCAAAGGAAATTACGGAATTCCGCCGCATAAACAGCGTGGGAAGATTCTAGAAGACTCCAGGAGGCTCTCCACTGAAGCAGACCCCGAGGGGCTCCCATGTGGGGCCAGCCGGCCCCACCTGTAGGCCGCCCGACCCCTAGGCCCACCTATTAGCCTCCACGTCGCAATGTCGGTTCTCCATCGCCTCCTAGGTTGCATCTACACCATCTTTTAAGTTGGTTTGATCCAAGGGTTCACGTTGGACACTCCGGCCTATATATACCAGCCCCTGCCACCCTCCCTAGAGCCATCCTAAAACCCTAATTCATATCATGAGGATCAGAGCCAGCTATCAAGAGAAGATTAGTCCTCCATAAGATCTAGTCTTGTTAATAATAGTAAGATAGAGAGTGAGGGAAGAGTTTGGAGGAGGTGCTGGCCTATCGGTGCTTTCTCTACGGCTTGTACCTTGGTGGATTCAAGTTCTACTTGAGTTTGCCTTCGGGATTTCTCTGGTAATCAACTTCTGATTCAAGTAAGTAATTGTTTATATTGTTCATCAAGATCATGACTCTCTTTTGAGTGCTTTAATCTATGAACGCTCTAGGTTAAAGTATTAATCGTAAGTATAAGCGTGGTGCTTAGACTTAGGTTAATCGTGGATGCACCCTGCATTCCGGATGGTGGTAGATCACGTGTGTGACATCAGTTCTATATAGTCTATACTATATAGCTTTGTTGATCCTTTGTAGCCCACCTCCTATTTGTAGGCGCAAGTAGGACACGGTTATGAAGGAAAGCATCCTCTGCTGGTGTCTTTCCCTAGTAATGTCCCCAGTTGAATAGTAGAAGATATAGCTTACCCAAGCCAGAACTAAAGAACCTTAGTTTTTCTCTCTACGCTCCTATTTATCTCAACCTTGTTGCTACTCCTAGTTAAGTTAGATCGTAGTTAGTCTCCCATGTTTCTCTATGGATACGATACATGGAATACTTCCGGGTGAAAGCTACAGCGGTATCCGCGTGCTTGCGAATTTATCCATGTGCGTTAAATATACCAACAGTATGCGCGTTCTAACGTTCATAGCGGAGTAGTCATACTTGACCTTGTATAAATTGGATGGTTCTGTCACATCTCCTCCATGTGGAAATGGATTTGTGCCCACTTGACTTTGCGGCGAGGCAGCAGTGGAGGAGGTGCTGTGGTGGTTGACGCGTCCTTTTGGAGGAAAGGCAGCGGGGCTTTCTGGGTCGAGCGTGCTGGCATTGGCGTCCGTAGCAGAGGTGCCCTCAAGCCAAGCTATGTCAGTTTGTAGAACAAAGGTACGTTTAATGCTTCGATTATTATAGGACTTTATTTTCTATACACGATAAATTATAGTACACATAAGGAAAGGCTATTATGTATAAATTTCAATTTAAATCAACGCTTGCTACACCAAAAAAGAAACTATTTTGTTACACAAAAATAGAAAACCAAACTGTCCCATATGAGGATATGAACAAATGCACAGATTACTGCTCTTGAATATTGTATTTTCTTTGTTATAGTGCTAGATTTGTCACTATCTAGTGTTTTAATGAAATTTGCATGTTTTTGTTACAATAGATGGACATAACCTAGGTTAATGGTAGACAATTCACACCTGCGTTCATGTATGGAGTTAAACCATTCATGGGGTTTGTTAGATAAACATACCCAAAGCAAACCAAGATCCTTTTCCCGTGTCGTTGTTTTATGGAGACGGACGTTCTAAGATCACTTTAATGATTTTCAGAGGCGGTTGCCTTAGCACGCCCGCCTCCGTAATTGATTTTTCAGGGCGAGAATCTTCTTGAAGGCACCATAACCATTTACGGAGGCAGTTGCTAGGTGTACCCACCTTCGTTAATCAGAGTTGTCTCCTAAAATTATTTTCGCAGTAGTGGAGAAGAGTGGCTTTTTATTCATTGTTATACGACAAACCTTAAGAACTGCTTGATCTACTCATAGAAAGGGGAACTCACCCCTGATCTGCAGGGCTATCGCAGAAGGATAGAAACACTTGATGTTGTCCTTGAAGGCGCGAAAGAAGGCACACGTGATTGATTTTGGAGTAGCAATGGAGTGGAATCAACAATTGGGAGGGTGGAGGGCAGGCGGATATTTGAGTTGCATAAGAGCATCTCCAATAGTTTCCAAAAACCCACTCCCAATCTTGATTTTTCCGCATGGAAAAATCGACCTAGTCGCACGAAAATATACACACACCTATCGATCGGCCATTCTGGAGGTGGAAAGACGTGGGAAAGAATAAGAAGTAGGACAGTATTCTAAATGCAAATGTACGAGAGAAAGAAAGAATAAGAGTGGTTTGAAAATTGTGTAGTATTCATGATGCAAAAGTCTTCTACATTCTAGGAGCGAGATTTGAAAACTGTTGTAGAAAGCCAACATATATGCTCCCAATTTTTTTGGCCACATGAAAAATTCATTGACTCACCAACTATTTTTTTTTTGAACCGTTGGAGATGCTCTAATCTGGTGTTTTTGGTGAGTGTAATGATTGGGCATGGTTTTTGGGTTCCGTTGGACTTCGATTTTCTGACTGCATAAAATCTGGTTTGTGAAACAGTTTTGGGAGTTATCTAACAGCGAACGGAAGGTGAGATTGAAGTATAGGTATGCTAACTCATAGTTGAGTGGGAAAAAAACATAGGACGTAAATTTTAATCGTGTTACTGCAAGAATGGTTATGTCATCGGTAACCAAGATGACACGATTGATTCCCATTGTACAATATTTACTTAAGGCCTTTGTTCTAGCCTTTCGAGAATTATTAAGTACAACCCAAAGTCAAATATACAGTTGGCAGAAACAACTCGTGTGCAACTGGAAATAAGTCGCGTATGTTTTATTTTTGATTTATACCTCAGATGGACAGCAATGCTGATTGGTTGGGTACCAGCTGATGAATATATCAGAGTTAAGGTTCATGAAAGTGATTCCTGGCCACAATATCACATGAGTTTTTTTTTTAGATTGGTTCCCTGAATCATCTGATCGTAACAGTTGTAGTGTTGGAATTCATAAATTGGTGTACTTTGATTGGTTGTTCACTGCGTGCACAGACATGCAGAATATTAACAAATGCAACCATCCCAGTAAGCATACAAAATTTTAAATAGTCAATTGTTGTGTACCGGCCGGGTTTGGTATTTGAAGGTCTGACCCAATTAGTAAGGCACAGTTGCAGTGACTGTTGGGGTCTGTCAGGATGGAGCAAACGTTAACAAAACCGACTTTTCTCAATGTCTCCTCCAAATCCAGCATGTAGTACTCGTCAAGGAAAGGCTGGGTACTCTTCATCAGAGTGAACAAAACTGGGGATAGTTCCTGGAATACATGGAAATAAATGTTATTGTCCAGTGTGAGTCATTCCTTCTGTGATGATTGAGGTGTTGAAATATGGTGCTGACTGTTGAAGCTTACCTGAAGTACTTCGGATTTTGGCTGCAAAGGATTTTAGAATGAAAAATGGAGTTATGTAAGTCGATTTTTTAACAAGTTTGCATACTTGTACTCTTAGGAAAAGCGAGACAAAAGAAATTCCTACCGAATTGTCTGTTAAGGCGATTGTTCCTCCTGGGCGAAGGACCCTGAATGCTTCCTTCACCAATCCGGTTATTGCTCGTGCTGGGCACTCATGGCACTGCAGTTTTTTTAGAAGGGGCGTTACTGCATTGGTGGTGACTTATATTCTGTGCTTTTGATTGCAGAGATTTTTAGCGATGAATTTATGGTAACCATTATTACAAATTTTAAATCCATGTAAAGAAGATTTTAAATCTGATAGAAATTTACCACATAAGCAAGGGAGACAAGGTCAAATGAATCTGAGGGCAGCCCAGTTGCTTCACCATTCGCATGAACCCAACGAATAGGGTTTGGCCGTAACAATTTTTCTTCCTTTTGTGCCGCCACAGCAAGAAAGTATGGTGATAGGTCGAGCCCGTGCATTATTCACAAACATTTCTGAATTGAGTGCATGGTTGTGCACAACTACTGTGCCATGAATACGCAGAAAAGACTGCAATGTATACAAGCTACTTACTACTCCCTCCGTCCATTTATCTTCTTCATCTAAGCAATTTTTTTTTTCCAAAAGTATCATTCGTATTAGTATGGGATCATGGGTTTGGCTTCTCGTACGTGCTGCGCATTTGGTGCTCATTGGCTGCTCCTTGTCTGCATTTATTGCTCCTTGGCTGCGACTCTTTGGCTGCTCCTTGCCTTAAATGCAAATCGGCGTTATTTACTGCTCCTTAGTCATTGCGTCGAAGGCTAATATGATGGAGACTTATGGACGGAGGGAGTATGTACTACTCGATTATTCTTTTGGTGAACATGGGTTGCTTGTGAATGGTCCATGCAATGGGATTCAGATAAAATTATACCAATAATGGCATTGTACTATTGATAATTAATTTCTAATATAAAGATATTGGAGCTTATTATTGCTCCGTACGAGACAATACACAAAAGGAGCTTAAGCAGAGATTTGAGGGCTTACAACAGCTTGAGCTGAAGGGAACTTCTCGGCGAGGTATCTGGTGCTTACTCCAACAGAGCAGCCAATGTCCAAGATGTCATTTACCTGACAGTTCCTCGAGTACTTGAGATGATGCTCCTCAATTACATTCAGCCAGTTCCTGCGGACGATTTGGTTCGCCTCTTCGATCTTCGATCGATGTAGCATCAGGTACGGCCCTCCTTGCTATTGACATTGTTGCCGGCTCAGCCTCTGCTGCAGCCTAGCTTATTCAACATCAAATTAACAGTATGAGCGTACACAAAATATGATATCCTTCAGCTGTTATTTCCACGTCGGTTAAATAACCAAGACATTTTGGGTATCATATTTTCAGGATTTAATAGAATGGTGTCACATTTAGGATTTTATAGAACGGCAACCTAGGATTATTATGAAAAGTTGTGATGCATATTATCAGAGTATATAAAAAACAATGAGAACAAAAAAGTGACTTACCAGCCATGATAGATTCCCTTCGTCGTAGGCATGAAACGGGTTGAGATAATCTGATCAAGAGAAACAAGGAGTTAATTATATATCACTCCAGTTTATTGTACTTCATATAGACTATCCTTGGGTCGAATATAATGGTGAAATTATTTAATCAACGAAACTGAAAGAAAGGAAAGGAAAGGGGAAGTAAGCTCACAGTCAGGGTACACGAGGTTTGGGTCTTGGATTCTCTCGAACACCTCGTACACGTCCGACTCCAGCACCTCCTTCGTCATCTCCCTCCACGGGATGTTCGACTTCTCCGCCGTCCTACACAGAGCCATTCTTACCGACATCTCCGACATCCCCAAGAGAACAAGTGAAGAACAGTAATGTCTAGAAAGAACGGCGCGCGCAGGTTTCTATTTTGTACTACCTGATGATGACCTCGCGGGAGGCGAGCTTCAATAGCGAGTAGAGCGGCTTGAACGCGACGAGAGCGCCGACCAGCCGCGACAGAGGGGTCTCTAGCGCCCCCTCCTGTGGCACACCAGTCCCTGTTCTAGTGACCGCCGCGACGACGACGCCATTGCGCTGGCGGCAGCCCGTGGGGCGCGAGAGGCCTTTCCCGGCGGAGTCCCTGTTTCATCTGTGTTCGGTTTGCCAAGACAACACAATAAAAAATACCCATCACAACACAATAAAAAAATACCCATCCCCTCTTCGTATACTTCATTCAAATAAACTTAAGAAAAATAGTATGGCCTAATTTGTCTTCAAAAGAGTTCTAATGTATGATATTATTTATATTTTACTAGTAGAAGTGCAAGTGCGACATACAAATGTCTATGGAAAGTTAGAAAGTTCTTGGCCATGCGTTGATTTATATGTTGTCAACATGCATGTATATTTTTGCTCATTAGTCCTACAAATTTGAACCAAATTTATAGCAATAACATATATTCAGTATATATGTGTATATGCTTATATGGCAATTACAGACATAGATGGCCATAAATTTTGTTTCCATGATCATGCTTCAAAGATATTACATTCTTATTATCATATATGATTAAAAAAATATGATACCGTTCGAATCCTCGGAACGAATTTCTAGGCTGGGTTTAAAAAACAAAAAAAGGTAGGGGGCTTCCCTGCCAACTATCTAAAATCCAAAATAATATGGTACCTATAAAATTGCACTGAGCTTGAGACCCTTTAAAAGACAGTTTGGTATAATAGCTAGTTTTTGGTCAACAAATATACTAAATACAACAATACCCAAACTTAACTGAAACATTGCTAAACTCCCAAATAGATAAACAAAAATTTAATAAAAAGAAGTATTGAGTTCATGGTTAAATAAGTTAATATGATCCACAAGAGGAAAATATCAATCCAACTGATGAACCACAATGAAACTAACATAATCCATGCTAGAATAAATTCTTCCTTGAAAGCAGGAGCCACACCCATCATACATATGATTGCAAATTCCGCAAGCTCTATGAACCTAAAAATCTCATTGTTCCAACCCTATGAGTTTTGGAACAAAATGGGAAATATCTATTGGACCTCGGACATTCAAGACAGGCAGCTGTCAATTATGACAATGGTTTCAAATGTTGTGCTACTATCTTCAATGTTAAATCTTTTGGTGTCCCAAACGCAGTGACATTTGCAGCAAATCAGTGACTTTCTTCAGTTTTGTCTTGTATGAATTATGAAAATACAGTGCTTCAAACTCAAAGTCTAAGATTTCTCTGATAATAGCTAATACATGTAGGTGTTGATGTATGTAGCTCTCTATCCCACAAAGATAGGGCACAAAAACAAAAGCATTTTGACATGGTGCTAATTTTTATTTCCGATCTGTTTCACGAGCCTCAAGTTCCCTGGCCTTCAGCTCTTAGAACCATGGAGGCTGAAACCCTGTACAGTTAGCTAAACAATTATACTTTTATAAAGGATGGCCAAATCAGCACCTCGGGTGCTTAAGTTAAAACTATTCTCTTCTACAATGCATAATTCAAAAACTCGAGCCTGGTTTATTCTATATGAATATATGACAGCGATCGATCTGTGCAAATAAGTTGCACCCATGCAGCTAGTTCAATAGCCAAAGTGTTGTTTCAGTTGTTCAAGAGCTAATATGTTAGAGAGCCTAAAGTCCAGAGACTAATAGCGTGTTTGGATTGAAGATTAATTCCGTCCGGCATGACCCGTCTGGAATGTGCTCGTCCGGTACTTTTTGGTGGAATGACCTGGTCCATCAAGATTGCTTTTAATTAATGCTAAGTAGAACCACCTGGTGATGGACGGTGTGGCTCCATACCATGAACCAAACGAAATTTTCAGCTTCGGCTATAGGATCGGATGACTCCGGATCACTCGACTCCAGAAACCAAACACGTATACTCATATATAGGCCGGAGGCCATACAAATACAGTACACGAGTGGATTCAAGCTCCTATAGCTATATGTACGTAATAACGTACACATGCATACCTATGATATATCAAACACACATTTTCAACTGTGATTTTCTAAAAATTCCATAATTGAGTTAGTATGTCTGATGCATTCATGGCATTGCATTTAATTTAATTGTGTGAAAAATCAATTTATAAAAATTCGGTTTAGATGCAAATCGATTTTTACTCTATTTATAAAATAAAGTATTAAGTTTTGTTTAAAAAATAAATTTAAATGTAAAATTTAAAACTATGTTTAAAAGTGTACAATTTTGAAAAGTCAAATGGTTTAAACAAATTTCAAAACAAGTTTGACTTAAAAAGGGTTGAATTCGAGCTTCAAAATGTTCTACAAAAAGAAAAAGGGAAAAAAGAGGTGGCGTTTGGATAAGGGATATAGGTGGTGGGATAGGGAAAGGAAAATGAATAAACGGCTAGGATTAAATGAGGCGTAAAGAATGGATGGCTAGAACGCAATGTTCCTTATCCCTATCCCTATCCCTGTCAAACAAGCTCAGCCTAGGGCCCTTTCCTGGCGGGCACACTCCCTCTCTTTCCTTCTCGGGCCGACCCCAACCCCCTTCTCCTGCCATTCCTCTCTCTGGCCATCCTAGGAATCCTTCCCGCGCTGGGCCTCACCCCACCTGCTCCCTGCACCGCCCCTCTCTGTCAATCACAAAAGGGTGGCCCCCGCCAGTCAGCCTTGCCTCCCCTCTCTCCGTGCCATTGCCAGGTGGGAACCACCTATCAAGGCCGCGTCTACTATACCCTGCCCGCCTGACGTAGTCGCCAGTGACTTCTTCTGGCTCACTATGGGGGTATAACCCCGGATACCCACAGGGTTGTACATGGGCCGTGCCACCAGGGGAGGCCCAGCCCACAAGATCAAGCCGCGTGGGGCACGGCACAAGTCGGTGTGCGCCGCAAGCCTGCGTGAAGCATCCTTGATGACAAAGGAGAATCTGATTGGATATGCTAGATATCGTATTCCTTGTCAACACATATCATGTAACCGACCAGGATAGATACAACCGACCTGTAACCCTACCCCCCGAGCTATATAAGGCAGGTAGGGACCCCCTCATTTTCACCTTATCTCATAATACAATCCACCAAAAACACAGGACGTAGGGTATTACGTCAAGCTAACGGTCTAAACCTGCCTAAATCGTTGTCTCTGCATTCTATGTCACCATCTAGTTCATATCTCATGCACCTCCACCAATTCATCTACTAATGTGGGCATACCCTTGATAGACTACCGATCATATTTCCTCGACAGTGACACGCTAGGTAGGGGGTGTGCGTGCCGATTCAATGGTGAGCCAGATGGTCCGCTTTTCGAGCTCCATGGTGCTCCCTGAGCCAGTCCAGTCATTCATGATTGGATCTATGTCCTGGGTCATCAGCGCTGAAGGCGTCGAGGAGATGATGGAGGCGGTGCAGAATCACGCTGCACCGATCGTGCCAACATCTACAATGACATCTCTGATCCCATTGCCCCGCTGCTGGGTTAGGAGATCCATCGACAACGATGATCTAATCTCATCTATCGATCGGGTCACCGATCGCTTAGCGGAATGTCAACTCCTCGTGGACTCGGTCTTAGATTGGTCTACCATGAGCGATGAGAGTCCTGCGCTCCAGGGTCGCCAAGCCGCTGAAACCGAGCGACCTGCTCAGCTGCATCATTCGAGGCAGCAAGATTCAGATCTGGTGATAATGGCTACTCCAGAAGGGTGTACGGTGCGACGCTGACCACTCCCAGCTACTGGCCTATGCCTGGCCGACTATGAAGCCCTAATGGAGAACATGCCGAGGCCCTATCCTTTTGGGCTAGTGGGCGCATGATCTATGTATGAAGACGCTGTCCACCACCTCTTCATTGACCACGCCGAGCGCGACTACGTCAATGACCTCTACATGATTGATCTGCCTAAGACCGATCAGCTCGTGCCTACGGTGAACATGGTGAATATTTGCCAAATTCCAGACAACTCCATCAATGACATCTTGGAGGAAAGCCTCGGGTCGTACTCCCAGGGCTCCACCGAGACCGTCTCTCCCCTCTTTCCACCAGGGTATGGGGGGTGAGCTCTTCCACATTAGCCATTACAGCGTCACCAAGGATGGCAAAACCACTAACGAGCGCAATGCTCGCCCGGTGAAGAACACCGATCACCAACATCGCCGGGACGAAGAAGCCGCTCGCGAGGCTGACGAAATCCGAACGGCCCACCCCACATGCGCCGCAACCTCAATAAGGAGTTAGACATGGTGGGCGACCAACCAGTGCTATAGATGCCAAGCGCCAACCTCGCTGTTGTTTTCAACGAGCTGGCCAGACTCCCACGAACTCTAGAGGTCAAAAAGATCACCGCGCACATCAAGGCGGCTCAAGTCCAAGTCAATGAGATCTAGCGTCCTGCTCTATCCTACTCGACCATGTCAGCTTGCAGCTGTCACTCCTGTAGCTTCTGCCACTATAGGGGGAGCTAGCAGTAGGCCCGTCCTATGGGGGGGCAACTGTGCGATGCCCATGGGCCCATGACGCTGGGGGCCCATGAGGGTACCAATGTGTATACTGTATAGTAGATGCTATCAGCCCATACGCCGGCAAGGCAACAGTGCATACCAATAGGCCTGCGTACCAATTGGCGGCGGCCGCTCGTATTGTCGTTCTTGATCATGAGTGCGTGTTTGCGGACTGCGTGACGGTGTTGGCGTGCTAGGGCCAGGCGCGAGCGCGAACACGGACGTCCCTCCGACGTGGCGGCGTGGCACTGGCACTGCGGTGCGGCGCCCCTCTTCACGACAACGACAAGTCGGCAAAGGTATCAGGCCTCTTAAATAAACAAATCAATTTGATTGCAGTTCAGTA